GGCGGCCGCCGGTGCCCGCGGCGGGGGCCGTGCCGGGGCGGGGGCGGCGGTCGCGGCGGAGCCGCATCCCGCGGAGGGCGGGCGCAGCCGGGCTGGCCCCGCGCCACGCGGAGGAGGAGCAGCAGATCCCCGGAGCACGTTAAAGAGCGAGGCCGAGCGCGGCGGGGAGGAAGCGAACGGCTCCGTGGAGGCAACGGAGCGGCGGCCGCAGAGCGCCCGCCCCGGCCGGACCGAAGTTCCCGGCGGCGGCTCGGCCGGGCCCGGCGGTGGGTGCGGGATCGGGGCCGGTGCCGAGCCCGCAGCCCCGCACCATGCCCGCCGCGCTGCCCAGCCTGCTGGCCTGGCTGGCGGTGCTGCTGCTCGGCAGGGCCCGCCCGGCCGACGCCTGCAGCTGCTCGCCCATCCACCCGCAGCAGGCCTTCTGCAACGCCGACGTAGGTGAGCGCCGCGGGGACCCCCGGCCCCAGCCCCGCCCGGCCCGGCCCGCGCCAACTTCCCAGCGGGGGAAGGGGCGGAAAGTTGGCGCGGGGCGGGCGGGGAGGGGGCAGAGCCCCCCGACTCCCGGCACCTGCCCGCAGCCCCGGCCCGGCCCGGGGGTGTGTCGGCGGGCGCGGATGCGCGGCCGGGCGCGGTCCCTCCGTCCGGGCTGTGCCCGACCCTCCCCGCGCCTCCCGCCGTCCCGGGGGGACCCCCGCGCCCGCCATCCCTCCCATCCCTCCCTCGGCTCCGCCGAGGCCGGTCCCCACTGGCCGCCTCCCCGGTGAGTGACACGGGTGGGCCCGGCCTCCCCCGACTCTGATGACACCGCGGAGGTACGTGGCAGCGCGGGGCTGGGGCCTGGGGGCGGCTGGGGCCCTCCAAGCACGGCCACGGCACGGGCCCAGAGCCCGGAGGAGCCCCCGGCCCCGGGAGCCACCGCCACGGGCTTGGTCACCCCCGTCTACTCCTTATTTCCAGGCATTTCCTTTCCCCCGTCCCACTTTGTTCGGCTTGGATGCTGCTGAAAGGGAGGGCTTGGCAGCGCCGGGATCTGGATTCCTCTTTCTATGAATAATGCCCTTATTAAATTTTAACATATGAACCGAACAGGCCGGCCCCAGTTCCCGGCGCTTCCCTTCCCGGGGCCGTTCCCAGGCTCAGCTGGAGAGGTAACATTCCCAAACACTGAGGCAGCCCCAACCTCTGGATGGCCCTGCCCTCTCCCTTGCTCCAGAGCCAGGATGCTCCTGACAGATTCCCAGGCTTCCCTTGCGCCTCCCAGAACCCAATCCTAGCCTTTCTCCTCCGTGAGGGCAACTCCTGCAGCACTTGGCTGCTGCTCCACACGCCCGGCTCTGCCCAGCCTCACAGTGAGGCACGTTGGGGACAGGGAGGATTTGAGACAAAATGGAGCACTGGATATTTGGAGGTGCTTCTGGAGCTGGTGTCCCTGGCCCGCAGGATGCCCTGTGCCCACTCTGGCAGCGCGGCTGTGGCTTCCCATCACACTCCTGTCAGGATCAGCTTTCGGGGCACTTGTGACTCACTGCCTGTCGTGGGGTGCCGGCTCAGCCCTGACTCAGCTGCTGAGTCACCGTCTGTCTTGGCGGCCCCAGCTGCCTCCACCGTCCCCTGGGAGGGCACAGCCTGGCTGGGCTTTGGTCTCCTGCTGCCCCACTACCCTCAGCAGGTGCCTGTCCTGCGAGTGCCCGGAGCCCATCCTGCCAGGGCAGCCTCCTCCCGTCTGTGCTGCCGGCAGCACTGGCACCTTCTGGCTCCCAGCCCAGGTGCCCTGTGATGCTCATATGTCACTTGTGCCTTGTGTGGGTCCATGTGGGGACAGTGCTGGTTTTGGGGATGGAGCAGGGCGTGTCCTGGGATTATCCTGTGATCCCTGGCCTTTTGCTGCTTCTCATCTTCCCCCTGGATGCTCTCTGGAGCTGGGATGCTCCTCGGACAGTTCCATCCCTGCAGGTGTGCAGAGCCCAGGGACAGTGTGGGGCCCTTGGTGCTGCCGGGACCCTTCCCAGCTGCTGTGGCTGGAGGGGCCCATGTCCAGGCTGGGTCCTTGACAGAGATGTGGTGGTGTGGGGATGGCTGATGTCCTGTGGTGCTGGGTGGGTGCACCCGAGGTGGCCAGTGGGCCCCAAGGCTCACAGTCAGCCCTCAGTAGAGGTGATCAGGGTGAGTGCATTGTAGGGTCTTGGCCCGGGGGCTGGCATCCCTGTTCCATAGCATGGGGAGTGCCTGCCATACCCCTCTGTGCCCCCCCATGGCCCCTTTGCCCTTGCACCTGCCCTACAATCGCTCTGCTCTGGAGCAGGGTTGGAGCAGCTGCAGCCCAGGGCTGCACTTCCAGGCAGTGCAGGGGAAGGCCCATGCAACTCTGCATTGGACATGGGGTGTCTGAGGGCCTGGGGGTCATGGAGGGCCTTGGGTGTTGTGTCACTGGAGCTGGTGACTTGGAACAAGTGACCTGCCAGCCTACACTTGCGCAGCCTGGCCAGTGAGATGTGCAGGGGGTTTCTGCAGGGCTTGGGGCTGCCCCGTCCACCATCCCTCACTGGAGCCGTGCCTGGGCACTGGGGACTGGAGGTGCTCTGGCAGGGCCACTCCACTGCAGGAGATGCTCGGCTGCCTGGTGGGGGCCACAACCAGGCCAGGGGCCACAGCAGGAAACCTGGCTTCTGCTCAGTCCCTTCTGGAGCAGCGTGGGGCTGTGGAGCGGGAGGGGGGTGATGCTCAGCCCTTTTGGGCACGGCCGTGGCTTTGGCCCTGCGTGGCAGCACCACTCCCGGAGGGGCCGATGGGGCAGGGGAGAGCGGGGGCACCTGGGCTGCGGCCCTTGGCAGTATCGTGCCGATTCCAGTCATCCCAGTGCTCGGTTCCTCGGGACGGGGGCACAGGAAGTGTGGGGGCTGCCAGCAGCCAGTGAGGACCGCGCAGAGGAGGAGGTTTGGTGGGAGTGGTGAGAGCCGTCCGTGCCGGGGAGGTGCGGCTGCCTGCAGACCCCGCCGAGCCTGGCGGGGCCCGGCACTGCCGGTGCCCGGTGCCGCCCCGGCGGCCGGAGCCGTTCGGTGCGGAGGGGCCGTGGGCGGGCGCGGGGGCCGCGCTGATTGGGCTCCCTGCGCTCCGTCACGGCCGGGATGACGCGCGGCCATGGCAGACCCGCGGCCCCACGGGCACCGGGGAGCCCCCACGGGCACCGGGGAGCCCCCACGGGCATGGCAGACCCGCGGCCCCACGGGCACCGGGGAGCCCCCGCTGCCTCCCCGCTGCGGGACCGCCCTGCTCGGCCCCGCACCTCCAGCCTCAGCATCTCTAATCCGCTGTGCCGGGGCGGGGGCACCCACTCCGCCGCCCCTGCGGCTGCTGGGGTGCGGGCAGGCACTCGTGGGGTGGTTGTCGCTCGTGTGCCGGGCAGCGCTGGGATGCAGGAGTCCCTGCCGGGGTGGTTTGCCGGCTCTGCAGCTCTGCCGGGCTCGAGCGGGGCTGGAATGACCCCGGGGCTGCCTTCACTAGGGAGACGGGTGCCTGGGCTGGCAGTGCCGGGTGGGACACGGACAGTGCTGGCACTGGCAGCCGGCTCTTCTGCTCCGATGCTGCCAGCAGCCCAGGAGAAGGGAGCTTTGTTCCCTGGGCATCCAGCCTGGCAGCAGCCTCCTGGGTGCAGCCTCCACAGTCCATGGCCACTGGTGCTTCCTGGGCAGCTGTGGGCAGGGCAGCTTGGAGGGGTTTGGGGTGGGATGGTGGAGGAAGGGGCAGCCAGTCAGGACACCCTAGGCTGGGAGGAGGGGGCCTGGGGCTAAGGGTCCTTTGTGCTGCCTCTCTGCCCGTGGGGAACAGGTGGGCACAGCAGTGTCCTGAGCTGGGGCACCCCGTGTGGGGCCAGGGTGGATAAACCTCACAACTGGCAAGTCCAGAGAGACATCCTGGTGGGTTTGTGGCACTGAGTGACTGTGTGTGTCCCCAGCTTTGCTCCTGGAGCTGGTGGCTGCCCAGGCTGGCAGCAGGAGGGGTGGGTGTCATGGCCAGTGGGGGCACTGGCATTTGGGGAGGTCTAACTGCTGGTCCCTGTGCACCCAGGGGTTTCCTCCATCCCTCACCCAGTCTCCTTGTCCCGGGCTCTCCTCGGGGCTCTCTCCACCATCCCTGTGGCTGCCCTCCCCACCACCCTGGTTCCTGGCGGGCGCGGAGCAGCTTTGGCTGCACCGTGGGGTCTTGGCGGGGAAAGCACAGCGCGGCCGTCCCCTCCACAAAGCCGCACTGTTCAGAACAAATCCGCCCAGAATTGGGCTGCATTTTTGTCAAGTGATTCATCAGCACGTGAATGGAAAAGGCTGGAGCCCACTGAACCAGTAACCATTCCCCACACAGGAGCCATGGGGCCGGCACTGGTTGCACCCAAGTTAAGGTGCCGACACACAGGGCCTGGCACACGTGGGGACACAGCGGCCGCAGGGCCGAGGGGCAATGGGGGTGGCCCGTGCCTGCAGCGGCCCCAGCACGCTGCTGACAGAGGAGTGGGCGCTGTCCTCAGGCACGGCTGAGATGCTGCCAGTGTGCCTGGACAGCCCAGCCCTTCCCAAGGGATGGGAGCACGGCTGGGAAAGCTTCCAGTGCAGCCCCCGTACCAGCAGCCATTGCATCCCCCAGCCCCGCTCAGAGCGAGTGCCCCCCCTGACCAGGGAGAGCTGTTTCAGGAAGCCTCTTCCCTGGTCCCTGCTCACGCTAGTGCCACCCTCACCTTTCCAGAGTAAGCTCTGTTGGTTCTTGGTGGTGCCCACGTGTGGCTGTGCCCCCCTGACCTTCAGCTGAAATAGCCCGTCCACGTGCCCCCATGCCCAGCAGTATTTATAGACCGCGGTCAGATTCCCTCCTGGCCATGCCAGGTGGGAGAAGCTCCTCTGTGCCAAGCTGTGGGTGACCCCCACACGTCCCTGGCCGCTCCCAGCCCAGCACATTTTTGGTGGGGACTTGAGCTGAGATGAACTTTGTGAGAGTGCCCAGCTCCCTGTCCCCCACCCCACGGTGCACACACGAGGCTGGCAGGGCACCAGGGAGCCCTGCAGGAGAGGGGGTTGGCCTTCCCATGGGATGGAGGTACCCTGGCAGAGTGGGGAGTCCTACCAGCCCATCTCCTGCAGCCAGGCCTCCTCCCTACTCAGAGTGCTGAGCAGGAGATGCAGCTTTGGGGCTGCCACTGTCCTCTGCACTGTCAGCATCCCCAGTGCTGCCTGGGAGTTCCAGTCCCCACACCAGTGGAGGGAGCCAGGCAGGGCTGGGAGCTGCAGAGCTCAGCATGGGGACCCAGGCAACCCAACCCAGCACAGCACCAAGCCAGCCCCACGTCCCAGCTGGTGAGTAAGGGTGAGCTGGCTGCCCGCCCTGCCCGCCCTGTGGGTCACTGCCACGTGCTGAGCACTCACATGCCGGATCGTGTATCCTGGGCTGTGCTGGCAGCGTGACCGCAGGGACCCTGCCGTGGCACAGCTATCCCCAGGCTCAGGGTGCTGCACCTCTCTGGCCCTGGGGCTCCCAACCCTGTCCCTCAGCACCCAGTGCTGGGAGCGCCCCAGGGCCACCAGTGCTGTGTGGAGGGCTGTTGCCTTTGGCCAGGCTGCTTGGGGCTGCTGGCTGGGCCCTCACTGCCTCCTCCTGCTGCCATGGCTCTCCGTGTCCCGGATTGTTTTTCAGGCAGCAAGGGCAGGAAGCAACACCCGCGGCCCCAGTCCTGGGAGGATGTGGGTTCTGCGCCTGCCCAGCACGATGCTCCACGTGAGGCAGGACCCATCAGCTGGAGCATCGCCCTGGGGCAGCTGGGACCCCACTGTGGTGGGACAGGGACCCCGTGCTCCAGGGTTCAAGGGCAGCCTTGTCCTGGGACCCTTGCTCTCCCAGCATTGGGTGCAGAGAGGCTGGCAAGGGTCTGGTGAGGCTGGGGACCCCAGCAAAAGGTGCTGGCGTTTGGTGGGCAGTGCAGGTGCCCATACTGGCCTTGGCGAGCAGCTGGGATCGTGCCACGGGGACGTGGCTCTGCCACCCTCTGTAAGGTGATTCTTTCCCGAAGATGATTGTCCAAATCGCTCCCTCTGCCCTTCCCTCCTCCGGCCCGGCCAGGCCACTCTGGCACCTGGATGGGGCCCTTGTCAAGGACTGGTTTAATTAATGACAGTGGGACAAACACCGCGGTGCTCCCAGGACACTGCAGGCAGGTTTTAACTCTCTGTGCCATCTGAGTGATGGGCACAAGTCCAGGCAGGGCCAGCCTGCACCCAGGAATCCATCAGAGCCCGAGCCAGCGCCGGCCAAGGGTGAACGGTCTGGCACAGGCGGTGGCAGCAGGGCCCTGCAATCCTGGGATGACCTTTCCTTATCACCCACCCGGAGGGTGCTGTTGCAATGCTGCCAGTCACCGTCATGCGCGTGCCAGAGCCCCGTTCCTTTGGGGACAGCAGGGGACAGTTGGCTCTGTGGGCAGCTGAGCATCTGCGGGGAGGGCTGTGGGGTCTGCTGTGGGCAGTAGCCCCTTATGGGTGTGGGAATCACTGTGGGATGCAGGGGCTGAGTGGGACTGGTCACCTTCACTTACCTCACCTTTCCCTTGCAGTGATCCGAGCCAAGGCCGTCTCTGCAAAGGAGGTGGATTCGGGGAATGACATATACGGGAATCCGATCAAACGCATCCAGTATGAAATCAAGCAGATCAAGGTAACGGGGCACATCAGGGCAGGAGGCTGAGTGGGACGGGGCACCCCTGCACCAGCCACTCACTCCTGCCTCTGCTCCCCAGATGTTCAAGGGCCCCGACCAGGACATAGAGTTCATCTACACGGCTCCGTCGACTGCCGTGTGTGGCCGGCTGCTGGACACCGGCGGGAAGAAGGAGTATCTCATCGCAGGTGGGCACTGCAGGGGAGGGGGCTCGAGGGGTGCCAGGACAGTGCTGACCCTGCTGCCTCACCCACCCCTGGAGACACTTGCTGTGTGTGCCTGCTCCCTGGGCGTGTTCCCCCCCCATCCCTCAAGCTCCTACCACCAGCCCTTGGGGGACCCCCCAGCCGTGTCCTGGCTACACTTGGCAGCCCTGGCTGTGGTGGGGGCAGCTGGGGGATGAGCCTCTGCTCCCTGGGGCGTCACCAGAGACAGTGCACAGTGAGGGGACCCAGGCACCTCGAGTCAATTTTGGGGTCCTGGGGCACTGGGGGGGACCCCCTGAGTGGTCTGTCTGGCCTCTCCCCAGGCAAGTCGGAGGGCAACGGCAAGATGCACATCACACTCTGCGACTTGGTCTCCACTTGGGACTCGCTGACCCCAACCCAGAAGAAGAGCCTAAACCAGCGGTACCAGATGGGCTGCGAGTGCAAGGTGAGTGACCAGGCTGTCCCCCACACGCCCCACACCAGGGGGATCTGCAGCCCCCAGGGAGGGGTGGGTTCTGTGGGGAGATGCTCTTCCCTGTCCTTCAAGGCTGAAGTTGTGCAGAGACAGCACGACCAGGCAGAACAGGAAGGGTGGCTGAGCCTCTGGCTCCCTCTGGCTGGGAACCGAGGCCAGCCCTGGGACCAGCACCCAGGAGTTCCCTCAGTCCCCCTGCATCAGGGTCATGTCCCCAGCACGCCTCACAGTGCAGAGTCAGCCTGGAATCTGTGTTAAGAGATGGGAGAGTGGATAAAGCAGAGCTGTGCAGGACCCCCAACCCAACTGCCCCACACCGCTTCCTCCCGGCCCAGTGTCCCCCGCCGGGGTGATGGGTGACAGTCTCTGTCGTGCACAGATCTCGCGCTGCCTCTCCATCCCCTGCTTCGTCTCCTCCTCGGACGAGTGTCTTTGGACAGACTGGGCGATGGAGAAGAACAACGTGGATGGGCGGCAGGCGAAGCACTACGCCTGCATCAAGAGGAGCGACGGCTCGTGTGCCTGGTACCGCGGCATGGCCCCCCCCAAGCAAGAGTTTCTCGACATCGAGGACCCCTAAGCCAAACGAGCGCATTCCAGTAGCCAGTAGAAAAAAACCTGCGAGATGTTAGACTGGTCCGTGCTGATATCAAACCCTGGAGACAGCATGAAAATCTGCTCGGCCGCGGGGGTCACCGGCGGCTGCCACGTGCATGCGGGGGGCAGGGACCGGGACCCACTTCGTCGCAGGCACCTGGCAGCCCACGGCCACACCGGGCAACTTGGGCTTGTGCAGGGCCAAGCAGGGCGTGGGGACCCCCCTGCCAGGGCCGCGACTCCCCAGCCGTGCTTGGCCCTGCCCTGGCAGCTGTGAAGGAATCGAGCCCTTCTGAGTGGCGGGAGCTGCCCCGGCTGCGTAGCAGGTCTACCAGTGCCCCCGCCGCGGGAGCCGCCCCCGCAGCTCTGCCCAGGCAGCCCTGCCCACCGCAGTGCCCAGAGACCCCCGTCCCCTCCCCACCCACTGCCCATCCCCTCCCCTCGGGGTGTAGGAAGGGCACCTCTCTGGGCAGGGGCTCCAGAGGGCTTTACCATGTGGCAGAGCCCCTGGCTGAGTGCAAGGGGCTCCGGGCCTTTCACAGGGCCAGAGGACTCCCGTGCAGGTGCCTCGTCTGAAAAAGCTGGAAGGGCACGCTAGCATGTCAGGGGTGACCCCCACATGCACCCGGCCACTGCTGCCCCTCTCTCCACATGTTCCTCTCTCCAGTGGGCTCCATTCCCCTGCAACCTCCTGCAGATCCTTCTGCAGCTGCCACTGTCGGACAGGTTGAGACCCACTGGGCTTGGCAGGGACCCCTTGGCAGAGCACCAGGAGCCAGAGCTCTGGCTGCGCAGGCACAGGGTGTCCATCCTTGCCTCGTGCGGCTTTGGGCTGCGCTGTGGCCCTCAGCACCACTGCAGCCAGGAGAGCTCCCTCTTCCGTGGTGCAGGGAATGGAGCCTGGAACCGGCGGCAGGGCAGCTGCAGGAAAACCTGTCCCCTCCAGTGGACCCCCTGCACTCCTCGGCCCCACATTCTCTGAGCCATCCCCACGCCGCAGCGGTGCTGGCGTGTGCCGCAGAGCTGCCCCGCTGCGATGCCCGTGGCACTGGCACCCAAAGCGTGCCAGGAATGCTCCCCGCGGCCCTGCACCGGGGGCGTTTTCATGCTGTGTGTCCCTGTAAGGTTTGAGATGTCGTACTGGACCAGTCTGGGCAATTGCAACATATTAAAGAGAAAAATTAAAAAGAAAGAAAAAGAAAAAAAAACCCCACCCAACCTTTACTCAGTCCCGACCGCGCATCCCAGGCGCTCTGTATGGCTGTACCCGCTGTGCTCCTGTCGCTGCTGCTCCTCTGTCTTTGACTTCAATATCGCCACTTGTTTTGCCGCCGGCTCTGTGGTCCCTGTGCCGTGATTTCCGTCTCCTCATCCGGCGCTGGAGCCGCCCCGGTACCGGCGGGGGGCTCCGTGCCAGGAGCTCCCGGGGAGGGGAGACGATGGGCGGGGGCCCTGCGGCGGCTTGGCCAGGACGCCCCCGGCTCCCACCACCCCTCCGGATCCAACCGAACACCCCCGGGCCACCCGGTCCTCCTCGGCCGCGGAGAGGAGGGATCCACGCGGGGCTGCCGGAGGGCGAGGAACGAGAAGGCGAGGGGAAGAGCTGCTGCAGGGCCACCTTCAGACACCGGCAGCAGCGCCGAGCGCGGGGTCCGGCGGGGCCGGGATCGGGGCCCGGACCGGGACCGGTGCCGGAGAGGGTCGGGGCTGGGGCTGAAGGGGGGCGCGGTCTGTGCCGGAGGGGGCGGGCCCGGGGTGTGGCGGGGCCGCGCTCAGAGCCCCGCGTCCGGTCCCGCGTGGGGCGGTCCCGCCTGGCACCGCCCGCCCTGCGAGCGGCCCGGCCCTGTCCGCGCCGGGACTCGCAGCGGGCGGGGCTCTCATCTCCCCGTTGGCTGTTCCGAGCGGGCGGGCGGAGCGTGCCCGGCCCGGGGCTGTGCCGAGCAGGCGCCGCGGCCGCGCAGGAGGCGGAGCGGGGCCGCCCCGCGGGGCCGGCGCGGAAGGAGCTGGTGC